GATGTTCTCGTTCATGCAGGGTGTTTGTTATGCCCCCTCCCAATCATCAATGAGGAGTCGAGACGAGCTAAAAAAAAACGTACAACCCAAAAGAGGGATGGGAGGACGACACTCCGCCACCACACAGGGAATTTCACTGGAAGGAGAGAGCGAGAGATTTTGTTTTTGTCTGGAAGGAAGGACTTAAAATCCCTGTGTGGTGGCGGCGTGCCGTCCTCCCATCCCTCCCTTGGGTTGTACTTGTACTTTTAGCTTACTGGGAGAAAAGAGAGAGGGGGTTGTGCTCTCTAGGCCCCTAGGGGCCCTACGCGCGGCGTGAGAGCTCGGAAGCGAGCTTAGCACGGCGATCGAGGATGGCACGGTTCACCCCCTTCACCGAAGCTGGGTTGTATGTTTTCCCTATCATTGAAAGAAGCAGAGGGGTCTCCCGCGATTTCTGTCCGCCCCGAAAATTTGCCCAGGCACGATCGTTTTGGTCGGCCCCTGGCCCCCCTGGCGGCTCCACGCTTGGCCGGCGGATGCCGCAGGGTCCGCAGCAGCCTGCCAGCAGGCCTGAGCGGTGGCTTGCGATGCGAACCGGCTGCGCCGCTTCCTCGGCGCCGGGTGCTGCGAGCGTCGAGCGAGTCGCCGGTGAGCCAGCCGCCACAGCCTTACCTGCCGGTCCACACACTCCCAGGCGCACGGACGGACCCAGCGGCGTCGCGCACGCGTCTGAGCCACGCGTCGGAGATGCAATCAGACTCTGATTCCGGACTACCCAGCGTTCTGCTGCCCGTGGGCGGAATGTACTGTTGCGAGGCGCCGCTGGTCGGCGGCGCGCGCCTTCTCGCTGTGTCGGCGCGCCTGGCTGCGCTTTGTGGCGAGCGGTGTCCTCCAGTTCCCTTGCTACAGTTCCCTCGCTGGCGCATGTCCCTTTGAAGCCCGCGGTGCGGCGCCTCTCGGTGGGCCCACACGCCTCACTCCCACACACTCCCCGCTCTCGGCCCGGCCCAAGCTCACTCCACGGTGCGTCGTGATCGTGCTGGCAATGCGCCGCTGGCGCTCGTCAGCGCACACGGCCGTCGCGCTGCGTCCAGGCGCCAAGCGCACCAGTCACGTGCTGCCACCGACAGCGCCACACCACTGCATCACGTGCCGCGAGGAAAGCTGCGTCGCGTGAGTGGCGACTATCACTGCCGGCGGCTGGCGCCGGGTAGTGGTGTCGGGTTGACGCCCGTCGACAGTCAGAGAGAGGGTCTGTGTGTCGAGTATGTGTGTTTGTGGCGTAGATCCTCCCTCTTGGGAGAGAGAGATTGTTTGTTGTCTCTTGGTGTCTTGGGTGTGACGCTGCAAGTGTGGAACATGCTGCTCGTGCGCCGAGGTTCTGCAGATGAGTTAGTGAGCGGATTTTCTTCTTTTTGAGTTTTCTTCTTGGCCGTGCTGCAATCGCTTTGCCAAAGTCGATCGCAAGGTGGATCGAGCCGCCGCATGGCCGGGGCCGGCGCCTCGACCGTCCACGTGCCGCCTCTGCCGAAGAAGCTGCGGGCCGAACCACACGAGGAGGAGATCGGGCCGGGCAAGCCGTACGCAGATGCGGCCGCGTTCAACGCCGACCACAGCCGTTGGGAGCAGGAGCGCGATGCACGCGTGCAGCAGATGGCGGAGCGCCAGAGAGCACAGAAGAAGCTCCACGAGCAGACTCGAGGGGAGCGAGACCGCAGTGCACGCCAGCGGCCGGCCGACGACAATGTGCGGCGGGAGCAGCAGAGACAGCAGCAGCAGAGCGCAGTGCGCATGGAGTCTTTGACAACGCCGACATTCAAACTCTTCTTCCTGCTGGCCAATCTCACCCGGATGGTGGTGGACGAGTCGGCGAGTGGCGTGAAGGAGCGCCTGTGGAGCGTGTGGGAGGGGCTGCTTGGGCGACGGCCGCCATCGTCGGCGACCGTTGACTACGTTGCGATCGACAATCCACGGCTGACGCTCGGAGACCGCATATTAGACGACAATTTGCAGTCAAGCCAGCGCGTTGCAAAGCTCCTTGAAGCAGGCGTGGATAGGGACGATCTGCTTCGGACTTCTAAAATCGACTTTGTGTTCATAGGACGACCGTATGGCGAGAGTGGAAGGGGAGCGTGCGTGCAGCTGTACACTGACAATGCCGGCAGCCCAACCCGCGTGGAGTGCTATGACGGGCAGTGGGTATGGAACGGATCACGGCACAACTTCACCGGGAGGGGCCACGCAAAGTTCAGTGATGGGGAGTACAGCAACGGGGTGTGGTTCGAGTATGAATTGATGCAGGGAACTCGTGTACGCAACGGTCAGGAGGAGGTTGTGGAGCGCAGCGAGCGCGCAAAGAACTTCATCAAGCTTGGCCAGCCAGCCATGGCCAACTTTGTAGATCTCGACCATAAGAACGAGGAGGAGGAGATGGATGAGTGGCTCTGTACCTTTGTCTTCAATGACGACGGGCGAATATTGGACGACTGTGAACTCACAGATGCTTTGCTGCTTGAGTGGCGGGCCAGCTCAGAGTATCAAGACTTCCGTGCCTTTCACGAGGTTTACACCAAGCCGCTTTGGTGTGTGTCGGAAGAGCTCTACCGGACGCTGAGTGAGGACGTGATCGTGAAAAACAACCTCACGTGTGCGGGCTTCCCGCAGCTGCCCTACGAGTTTGCACGCGACGCGCTTTGGAGCCATCTTTGCGACAGCCACAGCCAGGCGCAGGAGCTTAAGGCCATGAGAGCTGAGCATGAGCGTCTGAAGTACAAGATCCCCGGCATCGAGTTCTGGGAGGGATTGTATCAGAAGAGGTCCCCCGCGTCCCGCAGACGGCTTTATGCAACTAACTACGAGCAGCTGCTTGAGGGTTGCAGACTAACACGAGATGGCCATGACCAGGCGTCCGAGCTGCCGGCCATGTATGCTTCAAAGGAACGTCTGGCTGGGCAAATCGACCGTCTGTCAGAGAAGATTGCAGATCAGGTTCGGCCAATATGGAAGGCGATGTCGCCCTTTGAGGTGCTGATGAACGCGCCGCTGTACAAATGCGACACTGGGAGCAACTACGACGAGCACTCGCTTCAACAATTTGCTCGCCAGGAACGATGCAGTCAGATTATCAAGTATTAAAATTAATTCTTTTTGAGCTCGGGCACGCGCCAGCTAGCTGACCTTTCCCTGCGCCCGCCCCGCCCCCATTGGGGGCGGGGGCCGCACGGGCCTCAACTCTAGTCTTTCTTTAAGGAAGGTGTGTTGCTAGCCGTCGCCCACCTTGGGCGTCTGCCTCTTCCTATCTCTCTTCGCAGTCCCTCTCCAATTCTCGCTGCAACGCTCGTTGTTGCGCAGCACATCGACTCGATTTCAAAAGCACGCATGGAGGCCGCGGTGGTCGTCTACTTGCTGCTGTGGTACGTCGGCAACTACTACTTCAACATCTTCAACAAGGCAGCTGGCATCGCGAGCGGTGGCGCGGCCTTTGCATTCACGCTCGCGTCGCTGCAGCTCGTCATCGGTTCCGGTTGGGTGGTGTCGCTCTGGGTGCTGGGCCTGCGACAGCGCCCGGCCCTCTCTGCCAGCCAGGCGCTGCGGCTGCTCCCGCTCGGACTCGTCACCGCCGTCGCGCACGGCAGCGCGATATACGCCAACCTCGCCGGCAGCCTCTCCTTCTCGCAAATCGTCAAGGCGGGCGAGCCGGCCTTCGCCGCGGCCGTCGGCTACGGCGTCTATCGCAACGGCGTCTCGTGGCGCAAGCTCTTGTGCCTCGTGCCGGTGATCGGAGGCATCGCCATCGCCTCTGCCACCGAACTCGACTACACACTCGCCTCG